TCTGTTAAAATTAATAGAAAGTTTAAAAAAATAATACTATTATATTATTGCCCCTCACTTTGAATATTACCATACATATATTTAAGTATTTTTTCAAAAATAATATTGTTGGAAAATAACCATAGATATATTTAGATCAGTTTAACTAAGGTTTCTTGGAAAATAATTATGTAGTTTTTGAGTATTTTTATTATATAGACTTATAATTATATTAAAAATATAGTCTAGTGTTACCGTCCAGGTATTACATAAGATTTACATTTACGTTCCATAGTTACATAAGCTAATAATAAAATAGGTATTAACTTAAATTAGTCAAAAAAAAAAAAAAATCGTATTACCTTGTAAGCAAGGAATTATCAGCTCGATTTTTTTGAACATAAAAGATCTTACCATTGAATGTATGGGTCTCTTATTAATGACTTGTAATTTCGCTTGAAATTAAAAAATAAAAAAAAAAAAGGAAAAGGTACGATGACCTGAATATGTCAAAAGAAAAAGATTGTGTGCCTATTATTATTATTATGCAACGGTTTAATAATTGAATACTTAGCTTTAGTTTTCTAAGAAAGGACAGCCGATTCTTTCAGGAAGGAATTTGAAAATTTGGCAGACCAGACCGATCGCGCAAGCCTTAGCGGATTCCACGTTTGGCATCCACACCTACGTACCATCTGTTTGCTACTTCTTTAATTTTCATGTATTGGGTCAAAAAACCAAAAATCATTTTCATGAATACAAATATTAATTAATTTGTAACCGTTTCCTGTCCCATCACCGGTGTATATCACAATATATAAAACTATAGTTAATAAACCTGACCCGATTCAGTGGGTCATTGAAATGAACCGACAAAGCAATATCAAAACCAGGTCAATTTTTAATTTTAAAGTTATTTAAGAAAAGAGATCAGATGGACCCAAATAATCTGTAGTTAAAACGGTCAACTCGCAACAAACCCGATTGACTTCAAATCAAATTGTTTTAATATTTTTAATTATTTTAAATTTATTATATTTAATTAATATTATGCACTATTATTTCAATATATTTATGACCTTACTGAATTGAAACTAAATTGACCATTAATTAAACGAGACGAGGTGATCCAATCCAATTCAACTTCTTTAGCCTAGATCAATTTCCAGACCGGGTGTTGATTATAAAACATGTAGTATATATTTTAAATAAATAAGAAATTATCCTATAACATGGCCTAAAATTAACCTCTAGATGGTTGAATTTTAATATTTTGATATGCCCTTTGTGTATTTTTAATACACATTCAATGTTTAAGACCTTCAAAAAAACACTAGTAGCTTAAAAAGCAAGTATTATATATATATATATATTGAAGGATTTAGTTGGTTCGTAGAAAACAACTTATTATCGAAAAATATTTTTTTTAGAGAAAATCCATAAAAAGATAAATTTTATTTAATTTATCTTATGACTAATATTAAGTGGTGATATTTTTATTAATTTAATCTATCTTCACTTATTCCAACGGCTTGATTGGTTTTGAGTATCCTTTAAAATTTATTATTATTCTTTTACCATCCCTAGTGATTTTTGGTGACCACAATAACACTGAATAAAAAAAATGTGGGAACTCATGGGCCCTTCCGAGTTTACTGATCATGAAAGGACTAAGCCCGATATCTTATCGGTTCCCGTCCCCATTCGGCTGCTTTTGCGGACCTAATGGGCTTCATCATTCAAAAATTGAATAACTTGCGTTTGTCATAAATTTACATTAAATAAATAATTTTATTTCTTTAGGGTGATCTAGATCCTATAAAAACACAAAACAAGCCTGATTGTGTAAGTTTTGGCTTCACAGTTGGGTCCAACAAGAGTTGCAGATTGACCTTGTTAGGTGAACCCAGCAATTGTTTATACAGCATAAGTATGTCATTATAAACAAGATCACAATCATTTTTTCTATATTTGATCACCAACTTCATGAATCCTTATATTTATCTTAAATCATACGGTTGTTTAGACAAATACAAATAAATCCTAAATTACTTATATTGATACCGGAAATTTTTTATTACAATCTGCATAAAAAAATTTTATTTCTGTTTTGATCTTATTAAATGTAATCATATTGTGCACCGTGTGCATAAAGGTGAAAATGATTGTTCTAGAAGAATAAAAAGATAAAAACGTTAATTAAACAAACGATCGATCTTGGAACTTTTTAAGTTCACTTTTTAAGAATGTAAGTTAATATTTTAAAGAATAGGCAAGTTGCTGAGAGTACTTAAATGACAAACATTGTTTTGAGATATCTTGGAATGGCACCTTAAAAAAAGAAACATAGTTTGAAGTATAAAAATTTGCTCAATGGTAGAAAGCACTTTTGTGTGCTAAAAATGAAAATGATTTCTAAACATTTGCCCCTTCTGGAAAACTTTAAAAAATTACAAAAAGGACAGAGTGCATAAATTAAGTAGAAGAACAGAAATCAAAAACACTCAGAGTGGACACCTTGCTGTTTTCCAAGTTCCAAAGGAACAGACAGCAATATAAGGCTCAATAACAGCTTTTAATTCTTGGGCATTAAGGCAAGGACTGTCGGAATTCAACCAATCTGAGGAAGTGGTTTTTTTTGCACTTAAGTCTGGAGTTGTAGAACCAAAATCATAACAGAAAGATACATTTTTCTTTTTTTTCATGATTTTTATATTGGGATTATTGCAGTATTTAATTTGCTTTAAATAATAAATAGAATTGAATTATTAAATGTTTCGTCTATTTTTCAGAATAACTTGCTTATAAAATACATATCAACATTTATGGGATTTCACAAAATAATTAAATTATTTTTACTCTTATATACGACGAATTAGTGATGATTTTTCGATTTAATTTAGACAAAATTATTATTAAAGGGAATGTAAATTTACCCGATGCATAAGATTGAATTTATACGACATTCTTTAAGTTAGTAGTGTCTTAACTTTGTTTTCAGTTAAAATTAATCTAACATTAACCATCTCAATCACAATGCCAACAATTGCAAAAGTTAAAAATAGCATATACGTAAAAGTATTATAACCACTCAATAATCGCGATTCTTAAAAAACTAAGATTTCTCTTTTCATTTTGGTACCCCCTCCAATTTTTTTAAAAATTCTAACTTGGATCCCTAATTTTAGATTCTGACGTTCCTTCACAATGTTAGAGCCTCCAATATCCCAAATCATGTTAAGCATAAGGCCATTTCCACGACTTTAGCATTTAATATATGTGGTGCAAAAGGAGACCGTAAATCTTAGAAAGAAATTTTCCATCCGCACGAATCACCATTGTATGTCCCACCTCTTTAGCCACCTTTATCCTATTTCTATAGTTTTTGCCACTATCTCTACTACGCGAACCATAGGATGTCCTTACATTGTTTCTAAGACTATGCGTCTGTGAATATTGTCTCAGTTCGTGTGGCAATTCCCCATCATGGACGAAGTAGGTAGTGCCATGTTTGGTCACAATACCCACTTTTTAGTGCAGCAGCCCACGTCTAAGTCTATTTACCTTTTTATTTATTTTTTATTTTAAAAGAAAAAAATCAAATGAAAATTTTCCCTTTTCCGTTGCATTAAAGAAGGGCTGAGGACACAATTAAAGAATTCACAAAGAATTAGTTGAAACAGTTGAATGCTTCCTTTTGATTTTTATGAAAGGATTCTCACATCATGGTATTAAGAAATATTCTCTATCAGTTTGAGTGATACTCCAATAATCCATATGACATGATTGAGATTATTTTTTAAAATCTGATTTATATTACTCTATAAAGCGGTGGAATTGAAAATATTTTTTCAGTAAATTTATTTATTTAATTTAAGTTTAATTTTTTTTGAAAAGTATTTAATTTAGATTTTAGTCGACTCAATTAAATTGAAAAAAATTTGAATTTTTTACTTAATATATACCTTTTAAAATTTTTTTTTATCAATGTAATCTTATTTTTATAAAATTTTTTTTAAAAAATTGAGTGCAGTAAAGTGATTCCATTTGTATATGCTTGTGGTGCCACCTCAGACTATATACAACTACACTTTTATTTTTTTTTACCAATGAAGTCTTAATTCTAGTGATTAAGGCGAAAGCTTGACATCTAAATTACAATAATATAATTTAACGTTCTCTAAAAAAAAAAAAAAAAAACCTCTTTTTAACGTCACATGGGATAATTCGTGCTATTTTCACATTGCTTCTAGTAGCCCAACCAATACAGAATTTAACTCATAATACCATTTTAAAATAATAATAATAAATTTTCAAAAAAAAGAAACAATTTGCATATAAGATATATAATAAAATTATGATATTATAATTAAATTATGGGTATAAGTATTTCAAAATATTATTTGGAAATAAATTAAGATGAATTGTGTTATTAAAATTAAATTAACTCTAAGTATCAAAATCCAGTAAGAGATGTTTCCGATTCCAGTAAAATTTTAGTTTTAAAAAAAGGGTCAATTATTCACTTTCATCTTATTGTCGTACACTAAAATAAAAATTTTTTTTAGGCCAAGCGAATAGAAAAAAATGAACCATAGATTTTCAAAAATGACCGACATATTTGGAATGCCAATAAATAAGAAAGAAAAATACTGAAAATTCATTAGAATATCATTTTAAAAATTTTCTAAAAATAATAATAAAAATTTACATATTCTAGTTCTCACTGTGAAAATGAAAATAACTAGCTAGCGATGCATTGAGTTAAAGAGACATTGATGGCCAAATTACTTAACTCCCGCCAGTCTTTAGCTTAACAATATTGTAGTGGGGTCGAAAGGGAAGATGCGATACAAGGCAACTATAAGCGAGGACGGAAGAAGAAGAGATGATAAAAGAATGAGTGTGGATAAAACCTGCTCAACACCAGCCAATCAGACTTCAAAAACCAAACACAGAAAATTCCAATCTTCTGCACGTTTTTTATTGTGCCAATATAGGACAATTTTACAGCCTCCAAGATGAGGAAAGTCAATTTGCACCTAGCAACATTTCTAAAAATTCACAGGACAAAACCAAAACCCAAACCCACTGGCCCGGTGCGATTAGCATACCACACGGCCCTTTCCCTTTTCTTCCCACGAACTTGTGAGTTCGCTGGACAACCCATTAAACATTCTTCATTACTTCTCAACAATCCTCTCTTCAAGTATTGGCTTCCTGGTTCGAATGCAATAAAGGTTTTCTTACCCATTAATGGCATGTTTCTAAGCGGTTTTTGCTTTAACCACTTTAGGCTGGTTGCCCAAGCATGGAAGACTTTGTTTGCTCAATTCTACGTTTCATCTCATCTGGGTAACTGCTGCTGCTACTTGTTGAGGGCTCCATTTGATTTCGCGGCGAACAAAACAGATACGGCGGTTATATTGCAAGCCGGCGATAGCAACAATTATCGAAGGATTATTGCAGAGAGAAGGGTGAGATGTGAGGTTAGCTGCTTCGACGGGATGCTGTTGTTGAGACAGGACAATATATGCGATTCCGGCTAAGGTTTCTGGCATTGGTCTGCCTCTTGAAACAGCTCAAGGACGTCTGCTCTTGACAGTGCAGCTCCATAATTTCTCTCCAATGGATTTCTGTTCTATTTAAGAAAAAAAGGAGAGAAAAATTGGACTGCTGGGGGGGTTAAATTTAAGATTTTTTCAATGCAGCTGCTTAATTTCTTTAGTGAGGCAAATTCTAGAAGTAATCACCAGGTCTCTAATTTGATTAACCTGTTTTTATTGTACATGAATTATTACAAATTTTCGACCCGAACTGTATCATTCTTTATTTAGGAAAATGTCTTGTATATTGTGTTTTTGTTCAATTTCATTTATTGTATATTAACTTGTTTCTAGAACATTTGGAGTAAAAGAAAATTGAATTGAAAGATGTAACTGAAAAACCAAAAAAACTCTTTGTTTTTAAAAGCAGTTTTCTGTCTACATTACAGTGTGTGGTCTAACATTTCAGAAATATTAGCATTCAAATTTCTACTGGTGCATAATTAGCATCGGCATAGGTTTGAAGAGTGTTGTAGTTTTAATTTCGCCCTGGTATCATAATGAACGGTTTTAAAAGGAAGAGAGAAAAGAGAAAGGGGGAATTGATTTAATAAGTTGTCCAATCGGTGGCAGTGTAGATAACCAATACATACCATTAGTTTATGTGTATCTAAGGACTTAAGCACTCTCTAAATTCCCATTATCCTGTGAAATTCTTTTTTCTTACTTTGTATTTGGATTGTGCAATCATACTTTTCATATTGTGTTAAATCTTTTGCTGATAATATTATTGCTGATCTCCAATAGGGATATACAAGGAAAGGCTAGCATTGTGGTAATTGGGTCTTAGTGTTCACACTGGCCACAGTCTGAATGCCGTGAAAAATCTTGCCATTCCAGAAGCTGAAATGGCCTTCGAGCTTCACTTGGGAGAGCTATGTAATTTAAATCATATAGAAGAGGGGCTGCAGTTCTTAGCACGTGTAATAGAATGGAGATATATGTTGTGCCTATCTCAGCATAGAGGGTCAAAGAAGTTACTGAATGGATGTCAAAGGGTTAACCCTTCTTTTAGTATACTAAGAAACCCATTTGTAATTTTTATCTGGTTCGATCAATAGAATGGAATTTCTTCACGTGAATAGGGTTAGATAGAATTATTAGATTGAAAACTTTTGGCATAAGATTATTCTTTTGAGCTACTAAAATATATGAAACTCCATGTTCTACTGGTAAGGAACGTTTTCATTTATTTATTATTAATTCATATTTCATTTGAAAGAAGAGAATTACCTTTTAGGTCTTGCTATTTATGTGAATCTTCATTTTTATTTACATCAATCTGTGATCTTCATTTTTATTAAACATTAATTCTGTGATCTTCGTAGGCTTTTCTGAACTCTGAAAGGGCAGGCTATTATAAAATTGACATCTTTCTTTTGATTGCAGACAAGTGCGCATTCCTGGTTCAAGAAATTTGGAACAACCGCGTTTTTTTACTGTACAAAAACAATGATGCTTTACACAGCACATTTTTGAAGCTGTCTGCAGGTCTTGACTCTCTTGTTCTAGGAGAGGCCAAATTCTTTGCTCAGGTTAAACAAGTTGTCAAAAGTTGGCCAAGGAGTTGTTGGTTTTGGGCGGAACATTAGGGGCTGTTTTTAAGCATGCAATATCTGTTGGCAAGCGGTTAGGACTGAGACAAATATTTTTGTGGCTGGAAGCTGTTTCTGTAAGTTCTCTGCTGTTGAACTGGCTTGGGATGAAGCTTCTGGAATCTCCATGTACCGCCAGAATGTTGTGTGATTGGAAGCAGGCCAAGTATGGGAAGCTTGTAATCAAACACTTGTAGCAAAGGGTTTGCACTGAAAATGGGCTTGATCGTTTCAAACAGAAAGTGAGGAGAGAAGTTGCAAGCTATACGTGATGAGCTGAAGGATTGTTGGAGATGCATTTTACAAGCCCCTTGAAGAAATGCTAAACTGTCTGCTGAAAAGCTGATGTTATTTTTCACCAGTTACAGGCATTCAGAAACCCATTATTTTGGAAGAACATGTTAAAAGGACCTTTCCTCTGTTGGTCCAGAGGTTGGAGGTTTCAGGTTATTTATAGACATCCTCTGTTCAAGGAATGTGAGCTCATGTGTCAATGCTGTTGACAGATGGTTCGAGTTTACAAATGTCGATTGATTCTCAAGGAAGTCGTTGCTGCCTAAATAAAGAGGATCGCCTCCGGGAAAGCAATGGAAGCTAAGCTATTATTGCTGAGGAATCAGAAACAATTGAAGCCCTGGAGCGGATTCACTGGAGACGTTCCTACAATCAAGAAAATTGACGAGCTTATGCAGAGAAGAATCAGGTCGCCAAGAAACTAGATAAATGCCTTTCAAAGATGGAAGTGAGGATATCCCAAAGAAAAACAAGTGAGAGCAGTAGAATATCTTATGCGCGGTGTAGTTAACAAGCTACTTCACGTCCAATGCAGCACTTGAGATCGATGGAAGTGACAGCCGAACTCTAAGTGAGGGGACCCTTGAGAATATGGCATGCTCTTAACAGAATTGTTCAGCCTTGAGACAGAAGTAAGCTGTTTTGGAACAAAAAGCTTAGAGCCATAAAACAAGCAGGAAGTAAGTTCGTTAATAAAAATATCACCCTTTACGATACTTCAACCCACTTTCCAAATTGAATAGAGGAACAACTCCTCTGTCACCATTGTAAAACTTCCCTTTAAGTGTCAAAATACAGATCCCTGCGAGGTATCCTTCAAGATTCATTTTATTCTTGTGTAAGACTTTACTTGCCTAACATGCATTTGCATCAACCAAAAAACATATATCCTGCATCTTCCTCAGCAGCCATTTGTCTTTAAGGATTACACTAGAGAAATAATCCTCGAGTTTAATTCCATGTATGGATTTTGTTCTTGGAGTTTCCAGACTATATCTTGGATACTGTTTTTATTTTGATGATTGTTATTAATGTACTTCATTAATTTCATAATAGAGACGTTCTTGGTTGCGACTGTTCATTGGAATTTTCTCTGAATTCCTTTGATTGAGTTTTGCTTTGAACTTGTTTGTGGCTTGTTCATTATAAGAAGGGCAAATTTACAGTATAGTCGGAAGGCTTAACTGCAGTTCCTTCATTAGCCATTACAGAGAAGCTTTGGTTTGTATGGTCAACTGCTAAGTTGAGAATTGAGATGTATTAGGCGACGGCCCGGCCCCAGCCAGCCCAGCCCATAGCTGTCATCTTCCACGTCTTCCAATCTTAACCCAATAGGCTATGCTTAACTGGGGTTAAGCTTTTCGTCTTCCGAATTGTGAATGCAGATTGGCTTGCTAAAAACTGACACGTTCATAGCCCTTTTTAGGGGAGAAATGTCAAATTTATTGATGAATTGAATTTGTTAATTAAACTTAAATAAATTTAAATTTTACCGTATGCGTGCAGTAAGCATGATTAACACTTTTAAGAATTTTTTTCTGATTTATGGGAGGTAAGATAATGTTTGGTCAATATTAATATTTTCTCAGTGTTGGGATTGATAAGAATTACTAGTTTCCTCACTATTTTGCCGGGTCTTTGTTAAACATAAATTATATGTTACAGAACAAAATCAACTGTGAAGTTGAACTAATTTCTCCATTTCTAGTCAATGTTGCTATTTAAATCACACTCCTATATTGAACCAATTCCCGTGTAGTCTGCCAATTAATGGCGTCGGTGACATTGAAAAGCTAGTACAGTGATGGACCAAAAACTCTTTAGTTGGCAATTGACCAGTAATGTCAGTGATTGGTTTTTATTTTTTGTAGCAACTAGAAGTTTGATCTGTCACGTATACCATTTTCCAGTTGGACAAAACCAACCTCTCCGAGTCCTCAAGAATCAAAGAAATCTTAACTTGATACTTGTTTATGACTTATCCTGTCATTTTTCCTGAGCTTTTTTTTTTTTGTTTTTTTTTTTTTTTTTTTTTTTTACTTGGTTAAGAGGGGGGGGAGGGGGGCGGTTGTGTGTTGATGCATAGCAAATTTCAAAACTTTCTGTCGGGATTGCCAGGATAGGGATGGTGAATTAAATTATTAGCTACATTTACTTAATTGACCGCTTAAACCTGCTGTCCATTTTATAAATTATATTCCTTGCCTGAGGATATGATTAAGATCGGTTTCTATGGATAAATTTTTACAAAATTTTTTGAGTGCATAGTGACAGTAGTCACCAAGGATTAGTATCATGTACTGTTGCTGTCATTTAGTAAAGTTGTTATTCTCCAATTATAATCTAATTAGTAAATCAAAATGTTAAATTGTTCTATATGATGATTTGGACCAGACTATATTGCTTACTATTATTTAAGATGTAACGCTACATATATAGCTCTTGTTTTAATTTCATATTGTAAAAAGATAAGATCAGGACAAGTCTTTTCAAACAAGCATTATTCTGTGCAAACAAAAGAGAAATTTGGAATTCTTTATTCTTGGTAAGGAAGGCTTTTGAATTTCGAGGATGGTTCTGGCGGGAGAAATATTTTTATTGTATATAAAAAAGAAGAAAAAGGAAAGGCAATTTATTTATTTCTAACTACATGTTGGGG